TTGTCCATAGCTACTTTCATATGTTAGTATAAGTGACAGAGAATACTTATAGGCTCAAAAGCTAACATTTTACTAACTCAGTATATAGGGAGCTCTGTTGGCTAACTCTTAGGAGTTGTGCTGCCAACACAAAAACAAATGGCTCAAACTCACCAGCTGCTCTGCAGGAGAAAGATGGGCAATCTCCTCCCATGTGATTTACCACCTCAGAAAACCCACTGAGGGGTCAGCTATGAGTCCATTCTGACTTGATGGCATATAATAAGAACTTTGTAGAGAAAACGTTTGCTGGCCCTTGCTATAGGGCAATTCCTATTAATGTTAGAATGAATATTCTTTAAATGACACAGCAATTATTTGTCTTTTTGCTGAACTTGGAGTTGCTGTAAGCCTGAACAGAGTTCCATAGTCTTGTCAAATACCATAATGGTTATCCATTATATACAATGTTTGGATGAGCTTCCAGATTCATGCTGGGAAGCAGGAGTGGCATCCACTTCCTAAACTAGAAGTCTCTGGAAACTCCACAAACTCTCTAAACTCATGTACAAAAGTGTTATATTATAGAACAGAGTTCAGGTCTTTTGTGGAAAGCTTACTCTGAGTTGTATTCGACTTGACGACACTCAACCACTGTTAAATGAGACTGGAGGAACACTCTCCACTTCGTACATCAAATAGGTTTGGAAGCAGGAGTGGCATCCCTCCCTAAACCACATGCCTCTGGAAACTATGAACTTGGAGAAATGACAGTTACGGAAAGGCATTAGGTCTTCTGTCCAGAGTCGCTGAGTCGTGCTGGACTCAACGGCAATGAATATTTTTTGTATATTTATTGATTACATAATTTACTAGACATCTAAGGCTTTTTCTTTTTTGTTTTTCCAGTTTGAGCATCTTAGAATTTCAGCACTCCGAGTTATTCCTATGTTTATAATCTGTTCGAGTTAAACAAGTCAACCTACAAAGTTACACAGCAGCGACCTCTTGTGGTTGGTCTTGATTTACTTAGATCATTTGGTCACTTACACACACACCCACCCCACCCCCAAACCAACCAAACACAAAATCACCCCAGCGCAAACTCACTGTGCTCCCTCAAGTTGGTTCTGATTTACAAAAACCCTCCTTAAGCTACCAAGGCTGTAAATCGTAACGGAAGGAGACTGCTCACCTTTCTCTCCCTGGTGGAGCCAAACTGGAGGTACACTGACTTTGTGTTAGCAGTACAATCGCTAAAGACTACACCACCTAATTTGGTTAAAATTACAAGGAAAAACCTGGGCTAGACTAGATTTAGGAGCTCTGTATTGTCAATCTCAAGGCACAGGTTCGAATCCACCAGTTGCTCCAAGGGAGAAAGAAGGGCAATACCCAAACATGCCATTCGAAGCCTTGGGAATCCTGAGGGCAGGCCAGCGGAATTGATTTTGACTTGATGGCATCTAACAATGGACTGGATCTTACATGAGGTTTGAAAATCCCGGATTATTTTATTTTTAATTACCTAGAATACTCTAATTGTTCTTCCAGCTTCTAACCAGGTGAGTGGAACATCATTTTTCTAACTAAACTGTAGGTTGGTTGCCTACAGACATTAGGTCAATGCTGACTCTCCATTGTGTTTCCAAGGCCTTAAACCTTTACAAAATAGTTAGTACCATCTTTCTCTTAGGAATGACTGGTAGATTAAAACTGCCAACCTTTTTCTGGTTAGCAACCCTGGAAATTGTGTACTATACCACCAAGGAGCCTTACAAAAAGTAGGTTCAGTGACAAACTTAGCACCATCAAGTTACAACCCATTCATAGGTGACCCTCCCATGCCCCTATATTTGAAGGAAGTAAATCTAATGGGAAGAGACTGCCATGGGCATATTTCTTGTGTGGAGTCACTTGTGGATTCAAACTACCTGGCTTTGGATTGGCACTCACTAGGTCTCCAGAGCTCCCTAAAGGTAGTTCAGCAGAATGAAAAACAACACATTAAAGACAAAGAATATGCACTTAATCATTCTTCCTAATAGGCAGATTGTAAAGTCTTGGGGAAGATACACTTTGCAGATAGGAATTGGTTAGTTGTATCAAATTTGCCAACACTCTTGAATTTCTGTAAGGAGCCCTTAAAAGGTCCAATGGGAATGTAGCATTTGGATTCTTATCTTAATTGGCTTTAACCAGATCTTGACCACTGGCAAACCATTCCTTAATAAAACTGACCGTTTTCTCTGAGGATCCTTATACATCAAGACTGAAGTGTATGGTTATCAAATTGATTCCAGTTCATACCTCAAGAGGACAGAGCATAATTGTCCCATAGGATTTCCAGGGCTGTACATCTTCGTGGAAGCAGACTGCCTTTATTTCTCTCCTGCTGAGTGAAATAATGTCAGTTTGAGAACTAAGGTGTGTCTGATTCAGGCCATGGTCCTTCCAGTTACTTGCTATGCTGCTGAGAGCTGGACAGTGAAGAACGGTAACAGAATTGATGCCTTTGAGCTCTGGAGTTGGAGAAGAGCACTGAGCATACCATGCACAGCCAAAAGAACAGCTATGTCTTGGAGAGGGTGCAGCTGGAGTGCTCTTTGGAGGCAAGAATTATGAGGCTTTGCCTCATGTAATTCAGGCATGTTGTTAGGATGGGCTAATCCGAGGGCCAAGATGCTCAGAAAGGAAGAGGGTTGGTGAAGGAGAGGAAGACCCTTGGCCAGGTGGACTGCCACAATGAGCTCTAATGTGTCAGGAAGAGTGCAGATGGCAGAGGATAGGACAGGATTCAGATGTGTTGTTCATAGGGTCACTACGGTTGTTCTTGACTTGACGGCACCTAACCACCACCACCCTTTAGTTAGGAGCTCAACACTTTTAAGAATCAAGTGCCATTAGAGTTCCTTACACCACACATTAGAATTTAGAAAGTCTATTTGGAAATAGAGTAAAACCTGCAAAAGGTTTAGACTGCTAAACTTGTCAGAGGAAGAAAAATCAAATATGGTTGATTATGCCAAGAAGTGCAAAACGCTAAGACTACACTCAGCCAAAGGTTAGAAACTGTTATCTGGGAAAACAAGGTCACCCTGTCTATGCTGACTCCCACAGATTTCACTAGAGTTCATAAAATTCTTTCAATGATCTTCAGTTTAAGTAATTTGCTGAGGTTATGCAGTTTGCAAGTGGTAAGGTCTTGGCTAAATCCAGGCGTTACACAAACGTCTGTTGTTGACTTCTGAAACTCCACTACCAGAGTGTTATCACAGAACATGGCACAGAAGAGGAATTCTTCTCACAGAGATTTCATGACCAGGTATTTCAGAAAACTCTGTCCTCAATATCTTGTCAATTAGCACCTAATACGACTTTTGGGAATTAAACAGTTGCAGCCACAGACCTAAGAGTGAGAAAGCATGGGGAAAAATAAAAAGAGAAAAAAAGGTGACAGAGATCAAACTCTGGCTCAACATAAATCTAGAATTGAAACAACTCTATACATTTCTTTCTCTGGTGACATATTTGCAAATCTTCTTTAAAAATAAGGATTCAAAACCCAAAGTCAAGGGGAAACAAAAAAAGATTCAGATTGAAGGCAAGAATAAGTTTTAAATACACTTTATTTTTATATTCAAGTCAAAGCAGATACACAATCAGTTGTGGAAATAAATAACTAAATGCTTTGGGAACTTTTAAATTTCTCCTTCAAACTAATTTTTTCAGCTCATGAAACTTTAACTTGATTTAAAGAAACATGGCAAGTATACAAAAAAAAAACCCCAAAAAACAAAAACAAAACAAAAACAAAAACAAAAAACAACCCTGACCTTTGTACAGAAGCATAGGGCCTTCTTTGCCTATAGGGCTTAGCTGGTGTTTTAGTAAGAATTGTAAAAAAGGGGGGAAAAAGCACACAAGACAAACACTGTTCAACAGATTTACTCAAATACTTCCTTTTGTTTAAGAAGAAAAAGGCACAGATTTAAGGGAGTGACAGTGATTATTAAGAATACAAGAAGGGGAGAGTCAGCCAAGAATTATACTTTATGAACTAAGAAAAAGAAACAAAGCAAACTCTTTCAAATCATCTGCCTTCATTAAAATGAATTTTTAAATTAAACTGTATAAACATATGATATAAAGTCGGTAGGTACTATAGGAAGAGTCCTTTTTCTCCCCCTCTTTATGTATATTTCCTCTATATACAAATCTTTGTATACAATTTCAAAGTTCCTTATACATTTCCTATATACCAAGATGAGCCAGGGTCTCCAAACTGTATGCCTGAGCTCCGTGGTGCACTCTTGCTGCTGGGGTAGCTTTCTGCAGGAACAGCTGGAAAGCAGGAGAGACCAATCAGATGTAGTCATCTTCAACTGGCTCCCCATTCACATCACAATAGTGGATAAAAATTGCCACAACTCGCTGAAACACGCCTTTCTTCATCTGACGCATCTCTGAAATTTCTTCTCCTATTGTTTCCATGCAGATGTCTACAGATAGCTGCCCTTTCCTTCGAGGAGCATAAATGGTGCCTGGAAAATGAGAGAAGGGAAAAAGTTTATAAATATCAGGATCATTTGGAAAGTCACCTTCGTTAAGATGGCCCAAGATACAAGCCTATAAGAATAATACAATATAATGAATATATGTACACACACCTTAAAGTTAGACAGGTTTAAGTGGAGCTTTCAGATAAAAACAGACTAGGAGTAAGAAGCTGGTGATCTACTGCTAAAAAAACAATCCCCCCCCACCCCAAAACCGGCCAGTGAAAACTTCATGAACAGTAGCAAAGCAATGTATATTACAAGCTAGAGGGTAAGGCTCTCATTTTGGAAGATATTCAAAGTATTACTCCTCTGAGGAAGAGCAACTTAGAGCTGACCTTAATGAAAGGACTCTCATTTGCTAATGTGGCATGAATTAAAATGAGAAGAAAACAGCTGCAAATATCCATCAGTAATCAGGACACGGAATACACAAAATATGAATTTCAGAAAATATAAAGTTATAAAAAATGAAACAAGACATTTAAAGATAACTAATCTGCACATTAGAAAGAATATAGAATGGAACCTATCATCGTGAATTGGACAATTAAGTGGTCTACTATGAGGTGGGTGGCAAACTGAAGAGAAATGATGTAAAACAACATTAACTGTCAAAAAGAGTATTTCAAGATCTATTCAGAAATATAAGACATGACAATAATATGCATAAGTATATATGGAAGGCCAATTATTACAAGTATTACTGATATTTATGGACCAACCACCAATGGCATAATTGAAGAAATGAAGACATACTAGTTTCTGCAGTTTGAAATTTAACAAACACGTGCTGATAATTACTCATGTCTGGAGTGCAAAAATTGGAAATAAAGGAGAACTGATGGCTGGAGAATATGGCTATGGTGACACTGGATCACATGATAGAATTCTGCAAAAGCAATCTCACTCATACATTACAAATACCTTTTTAACATAAGTGGTGACTATCCATATAGACCTCACCAGATTGTGTTAGAGATTGTGAGGCTGGCACAGGACAGGACAGTGTTAGGGTCTCCATGAGCTGTACTCAGCTCGATGGCATCTACTCCCACCACCACCACCACCACCACCAGATGGAATACATAAGAAGCAAACAGAGTACATCTGTGACAATGACAATACATAAGCTAGTATTATCAGTTAGAACAAAGCCAGGGGCTGACTGCAGAAAAATCCAAAATCTGCTTTTATATAAATTCCAGTTGAACTTGAAGAAAAAGAGAATATCTAAGTTCATGAGAGCCAAAATAAAACTGTGAATATAGGCCCCCGAATTTAGACTATCTCAAACGATAAATATCTAGCAAAATTATACTCAAACTTGAAAATAAAAGGCAAATCAAGCACTAATTACTTTCTTCATCATCTTCAAAATCGTATCGTGCAAAACTGTTGGGTTCTGCTGCCCGTAAGGACCTCAGCCAAGGGAAGTCAGAAATCATGGAATACGGAGCTCCATCCACAACACCTAAAAGAAGAAGACAGCTGCTGACAGTGGCACATCTTGGTCTTTTGTAAAAACAGTCTGAAGGACATTTTCATTATTTCATGACTGGATCAGCCATAAAGTGCTGGATCAGGAGATGTAGACTGTAATCCTAGTTCTGCCACTGTTTAGTTATGTGATTGTGGCCCATTCCTTGTTTTGATCAAGCAGATATATACATACATAATTATTTTATATATATATATATATATATAAATAAGTATTACAAACTTATACTTTTGATGCTTATTTAAAAAATAACAAAGTCAGGTGACCTGAAGTGATATTTAATTTTTATGCCTTTCATTTTTCAATACTGTTTTTTTTAATCAGGGATAGCAAAGAGACACAGAGCAGAACAATAGTCTATCTAGTCTCTATTGCCTGTACAAAGGAAAATGATCCATTATTTTAACAATGTGTAAGGGTCCTATTTAAATCCTGAGTTGGCCACCCTTCCCTAGTTAATGAATAGGTATTTATCTTTCTACCACCTAAAATACTCTCTCACCTTCTAGTGTATAGATTTCTCTTCCCCATGGATATTTAGGGTACTTCTTTAAGTCTTCTTCACTTCTAGTAGCTTCAGGAAAGAATTCATACTTAATAAGTTCTCTGTAGGCAACAGGAAAATAGTAAAAATTATAAAACTGGAAATTATATTGGAGTATAGGGTGAAAAGGAATGCCAAAATTGTTTCAGGCCCAGATTTACTAGACATCTTAAAAAATGAAAGTTAAACAGCTAACAGTATGTTATTTTCAAACCAGAATACAAGCCTGGATGAATCAAAATTACTACCTTTCCTCTTCAAAACCAAGACAATGACAGAATGCTACTCTGTAAACAAATGTTTTGGGAGTAGGTACTTAATACAATGTTTATATAAGACACAGAAAGTTAATTTTCTGAAGATATAAAACACCACAGTCTTAAGATGTTCTTTTTTCTGGATGTCACTTCTATGAAATGAAGTTAAATAAGCATTTTTCTCTTGTAATTTTGTTCCATGTGTAAAAATTTAAAAATTACAATCCAATCTATATGTATACATTTCAGTTTTAAATCCTCATACCCCTCAGTTTTTCATAAATTTCATTATTATTACAAAAAAAATAAAAAGTAACTAGGATCTGCCTCTAGTAACCCCAACCAGGAGACATGACTTACTGGTTGATATTTGCTATCGTGTCCATCCAACTGCGAATTCGAACCTTATTTCGGACATTGGGAGGATTACTGAATTCATGGATAATACAGATGTGATAGGGGTAAGGGCCACTGAACAGCTTCTGCTCCAAAGTCAGTGTGTCTACCTGTGGAAGGCAACAGAGAGCTTTGGAAAAAAGAAAATGGGGCCTTAGGAATCTCTTAGTACTTGAATAATCTTTTCACCGGCTGTCTGTTTTAAAATTCTTGGGCATTTGAAAATCCAATAGTCACATTTAGCCCTAAATAGCTTGCCACACTGGGATTAAGACTTGGCAACTTCTCTGTTCGGCATGATATTTATACTTTTTATATTTATATATGGTGGCATATATAAATGTCCATAGGGAGTTGTACTACTGACCCAGTCCTCTCTGGCTGTTCAAATCCACCAGCAACTCCATGGGAGAATGAGGCACAATCTCTTTCTATGAGATTTACAGCCTCTTAAAGCCTGATGGAGGATCAGCTGTTACAACAATGTGAGTAAGTTATCTAGGAGTCCTTGTGACACAATGATTAAAGCACCTGAAAAGGCCATTGGTTTAAACTCACCAAAAGCTCTCCAGTAGAAATATGTGGCAGCCTGTTTCCTTAAAAATCTTTCGCAATTCCATTAAAAAAAATTCAAACCCACCTTCATGAGATGGAACCAATGCCTAGGTAACCCGCCAATGGTTTGCAGAGGCTACATCCTGCATGAGAGGAGACTGCTTCTATTTTTCTCACTACCAGAGGCAAGGTCTTTCTTTGGGTTAGCAGCACAACTTTCAGTGGATTACACCACAGGGGGCAATTCTAACAAATCTGGTTGGAATCAACTTGATAGCAGTAGATTTGGTTTGGGTTGATTATACAGATGGGCCTTAAACAATGTGGGGGATTAGAGGAGCTAACTTCCATGTAGCCCAAAATCCTCAAATAATTTACTATTGCTCCTTGAGCCCTTAAAATACTTCATGTAAATAATTTTCTCATGAATTGTTAATTTCTTCAATATAATTTACTACTGAAACTGGACTACTGCTCATTCTTAAAAAAAACAAAAAACCTCTAAACACCTTTTTTCCCCTCTTTGTATTTTTCATGTTGCTTTCATTTCATGAACTGTACTCTTTTGTCTACTTAGGAAATGTTATTCTGGCATTTTAGGAGTGTGCCTATCTCCTTCATGGAAAATAAACTTCCGCAGAAGGATCCTGTCATGTATTCTCAGTGTGAAGCAAATTATAGGCACTCAACAAATGACTCGCTGAATTTAATTATGTTGGGGCCAGGCTCAAGCACTGCCGGCAAAAGTCTGTAACTCTCTTTAAACTCTTTTATGAGATCAAGTTCAGAGCCTCATATGCAATGTTTACTCATATTTGAACCATTCTGTGCCATCCTCAAAAAGCTAAAGGCAGTGACTACTACTAGGACTGCTTGCTACATATGAAGAACTTTACATGTATTATGCTATTTAAATATAGTAATAACCATAGGTGTAATATTATCATTATTTTAATTTTACAAATGGAAAAAGATGTAGAGATGATGTAGAGATTAAGTCATTTACTGCATATAAGGGAATCGGAATTTTTTTCTGGCAGACTGAAATAAAAGTCTGTTCTTTGTAATTATTAATGAGTATCACGCTTGTCATATAACAACTCTCCTCATATTAAAATCTTACAAAAACTGAGTCAAAATGTACTAATGAAGAAAACTGGCAAGCCAATTTGGCTTAGTAAAAAAATGATGGAAACTAAAGAATCATGACTGTGGGTAGAACAAATGAATAATTCCAAAAAGGATGAAATACACATGGAAATAAAGGAGGTGGGACTATCACAAGTTTATCAACAGAAGGCAAGAGCTCATTACCTGCTGCATTGGGCGTAGGTATATGATGCGGTTTCTCTCTGGAGGCATCCTTAAAATTTGGTCTAGCACCTGATCCATATTCAGTTTCTTGCACTGTGCATAGTCAAATCTATTTACAATTGGTGCATTTTCTACTTTTAAATGTTTCAGTACCCTGCATCTGGTAGCTACAAGATAAAAATAATGATAAATTCTATTAAGAAATTTGTACAAAATAATACAGTGATATACACAATTAAGGGAGCTCTGGTGGCCTAATGGTTAAGGAGCTTTGCTGCCATCCCCAACAGATGTTTCAAATCCACCAGCCGCTCCTCAGGAGAAGGACAGACAATCTTTTCCTGTGTGATTAACTGCCTTTGAAAACTGGAGGTGTAGCTATGGTTCAGTTCTGATTTGAAGGCACACAACAGCAACAACATACAATGTTAAATTGGAAGAACGTAAAATACTGCAGGTATAAATATCTTTAGGAGAGATCAAGTACTATCATAGACTACAAGAGATAATTAATAAATAAAAATAATTCAAACATGTCATCCTGAAGAAAATTACCAACTTCATTCGAAAATCTATCTAAAACCTTACCGTCAAAGAAACCAAGGGAAATACCTTGCCTAAATATAGGATTTGTTGAATACTTAAATTTTTAAAGAACTACTGTTTAATACTTATTAAAAAATGAGTTAACAAAAAAAAATGAGTTAACAGTGATTCTTTATTAACATCTAATTTTATGAGTAATGGTTAAGTAAATCTGGAATAAGTCATATATATCCCTCATGCACAAGAAATAAGCAGAATGGGTAATTTTGATTCCTTTCTTAAGTACAAAAGCAACAACTCAGAAAAAACATTTGAATATTTTCCTGAAGAAAAAAAAAAAAAAACAAAAAACAACACCTATTCCGTCTAATGAAACATAAGATATGGCAATAATTGTATGAAACACAATGTGAATGAAGAAGAGTGTGAAACACAATGTATACAAACTTAGTGAGCAAACTAGTACTAAAAAAATTTTTAGAAAAAGACAAAAAAATCCCAAACTTATTCGGCCTAGCTCCTTGAATTCAAGTAACAAAAATAAACATTCACTTTCTTAAACCACATTTTGTGTTCAACAGTCACATGTGGTTAGAAGCAACCAACTGAACAATGCCAATACATATTTCGACTGAACAGCACTAGTTTAAAACCTAGTTGATTAAATATCCTTCTTCTTGAATGTATAAAAAATGACTTTATAGAGAAAAAAGAACTATAATAAGTATCATGTAAAACAATCATATAATGACTCCAGAAACTATTCCCTCTTTTATCTCAAATTTCAACCTGGTAACAATTTTTACTGTAGATATCAATTTGATCTAAATTAGGTAAGAGAATCAAATGGAAGACATGTAATACCATATGACTGATATGTTCTTTTTTATACTTCATAAAGACATCTTCAGCAACATCCTCAAATGCTATGTTTGCTTTGTAACTAATGCTGATGTTAGTAATGAAGCAAAGTCTTCCGCCTTTCTGGCTTATTTTCTCTTCTTGAGAGAAGGAAAGAGAGAGGGCTAGATGGCAGAAGGCTCCAAAGGCTAGAAAGCAAGACATGGCTAAGGTCAGGTCTCATCTCATGACTCATTTCATCTGCCATTAACTTTAGCCAGTTGGTGTCTACGGACTGAGTTACATATGACTGAGCATAAAGGAATGACTAGGATCATCTGTGGTCAACCATCCAAGTCAAGTGCAAAAGGTAGAACCAGTCAGATTCTCAGCTGAGAGGCAGGAGGGAGATGCTGACAGATGAGAGGTCCTATAGTGCCACTGGACCACCAGGTTAGACCTCCAAATCTCTTTTATTATAGCTGTGGTGCTTTAAAAAGCCAAATCTTTCTATTTCAAAAGATATTTCAAATAGACGTATTAATTTATTACATGGTTTAACACAAAAACCTCATTAGAAAGGTTGGAGAAAAGGAACAACTCCTCAGAGCAAACAAATATGGGGTCAAAAGCCTTACAGAACTACAGGGAGAGATGATGTCTGAATTGCAGTTTGAGCTTTCCCACTTTAAGACAAAATGTTACCTAGGTAACATTATGGCAATTATTTGTTTACTAATACCACTGGACCAATTGGCAGCATCAGGATGGATGGTGAAGAGATTGAGATTGTTCACAGCTTTAGTTTGCTTGCCTCCACAATTAACACTGTTGGTACCAGTTGTTGTTGTTGTTATGTGTCGTCGAGTCGTTTGCGACTCATAGCGACCCTATGTACAACAGCCCTAAACCGTGCTCTATCCTGTGCCAATCTCACTGCCTCTGAC